TTTTAATTAATGTAAAGCTTAAAATGTATTAAGGTAAAAAGCCTACCGTGAAGGTCAATTTGGTTAAAAAAAAAAGCTAAAATTTATGAAAAAAAGTTTAACCAACGTTTTGAAAAATTAAGGGTCTTTTTTTTCCTTCCGATTTTACTAAAAAAAGGTATATTAGCGATAGTTTCCCTTATATTAATCTAGTTTGATCATTGTATGTCCATTGCAAATTATAACCATATTTTATATTTTCCAGGTGTTAAATTATTTCAGTATTTTATTTCTTCAGTTTTTTTCAACAAGATTCAAAACAATCATGATATTTATACTCAATTTAGGTGATTCCTATTTTTCTCTCGCCCTTAAATTTTTGGACTAAACAACCCCACTGTCTTTGCTGGTTTGCCAATAAATCATCATTACGATTTGCTGATCAAGTTGTACTCTCGAATGAGAGAACTATGAGCAACAACTGTCTTGTAGTGAGGACGTTATGGCCATCGGAATCAAGTAACTAATTCTTAAGCAGCTGGATCAGCTACACCCTTTCTCACTATTTTCGGCTTTTTTTTTTACCAAAATGACATTCACGATAGTCTTTTTTTGGAGAAGAGGGGTAGAATAGCCCCATTCTAAATTACTGTAATACTCTTTGAATTTTTTACAGTGTTTTAATTACCGTAAAGCTTAAAATGTATTATGGTAAAAAGACTACCGCGAAGGTCAATTTGGTTAAAAGAAAAAGCTGAAATTTATGAAACAAAGTATAAGCAAGGTTTGGAAAAATTAGGGGTCTTTTTTTTTTTCCGATTCTACTAAAATAAAGGTATATTGGCGATAGTTTCCTTTATATTAATCTAGTTTGATCGTTGTATGTCCATTGCGAATTATAACCATAATTTATATTTTCCTGGTGTTAAATTATTTCAGTATTTTATTTTTTCAGTTTTTTTCAATCAGATTCAAAATATGCATGATATTTATACTCAATTTAGGAGATTCCTATTTTTCTCTCGCCCTTAAATTTTGGGACTAAACCACCCCACTGTCATTGCTGGTTTTGCAATAAATCATCATTACGATTTTTCAGATAAATTTTTACTCTCGAATGAGAGAACTATGAACAACAACTGTCTTGTAGTGAGGACGTTATGGCCATCGGAATCAAGTAACTAATTCTTAGGCAGCTGGATCAGCTACACCCTTTCTCACTATTTTCGGCTTTTTTTTTTACCAAAATGACATTCACGTTAGTCTTTTTTTGGAGAAGAGGGGTAGAATAGCCAAATTCTAAATTACTGTAATACACTTTGAATTTTTTACAGTGTTTTAAATACCGTAAAGCTTAAAATGTATTACGGTAAAAAGACTACCGTGAAGGTCAATTTGGTTAAAAAAAAAAGCTGAAATTTATGAAAAAAAGTTTAACCATGGTTTGGAAAAATTAGGGGTCTTTTTTTTTTCCGATTTTACTAAAAATAAAGGTATATTAGCGATAGTTTCCCTTATATTAATCTAGTTTGATCATTGTATGTCCATTGCAAATTAAAACCATATTTTAGATTTTCCGAGTGTTAAATTATTTCAGTATTTTATTTCTTCAGTTTTTTTCAACCAGATTCAAAATAAGCACGATATTTATACTCAATTTAAGTGATTCCTATTTTTCTCACGCCCTTAAATTTTTGGACTGAACCACCCCACTGTCTTTGCTGGTTTGCCAATAAATCATCATTACGATTTGCTGATCAAGTTGTACTCTCGAATGAGAGAACAATGAGCAACAACTGTCTTGTAGTGAAGACATTATGGCCATCGGAATCAAGTAACTAATTTTAGGCAGCTGGATCAGCTACACCCTTTGTCACTATTTTCGGCTTTTTTTTTTACCAAAATGACATTCACGATAGTCATTTTTTTGGAGAAGAGGGGTAGAATAGCCCCATTCTAAATTACTGTAATGCTCTTTGAATTTTTTACTGTATTTACATTACCGTAAAGCCTAAAATGTATTACGGTAAAAAAACTACCGTCAAGGTCATTTTGGTTAAAAAAAAAAGCTGAAACTTATGAAAAAAAGTATAAGCAAGGTTTTGAAAAATTAGGGGTCTTTTTTTTTCGATTTTACTAAAAATAAAGGTATATTAGCGATAGTTTCCCTTATATTAATCTAGTTTGATCATTGTATGTCCATTGCAAATGAAAACCATATTTTATATTTTCCGAGTGTTAAATTATTTCAATATTTTATTTCTTCCGTTTTTTTCAAACAGATTCAAAATAAGCACGATATTTATACTCAATTTATGTGATTCCTTTTTTTCTCACGCCCTTAAATTTTTGGACTGAACCACCCCACTGTCTTTGCTGGTTTGCCAGTAAATCATCATTACGATTTGCTGATCAAGTTGTACTCTCGAATAAGAGAACTATGAGCAACAACTGTCTTGTAGTGAGGACGTTATGGCCATCGGAATCAAGTAACTAATTTTAGGCAGCTGGATCAGCTACACCCTTTCTCACTATTTTCGGCTTTTTTTTTTTACCAAAATGACATTCACGATAGTCTTTTTTTGGAGAAGAGGGGTAGAATAGCCCCATTCTAAATTACTGTAATACTCTTTGAATTTTTTACAGTGTTTTAAATACCGTAAAGCTTAAAGTGTATTACGGTAAAAAGACTACCGTGAAGGTCAATTTGGTTAAAAAAAAAGGCTGAAATTTATGAAAAAAGATATCAGCAAGGTTTTGAAAAATTAGGGGTCTTTTTTTTTCCGATTTTACTAAAATAAAGATATATTAGCGATAGTTTTCCATATACTTCTAGTTTGATCATTGTATGTCCATTGCAAATTATAACAATATTTTATATTTTCCGAGTGTTAAATTATTTCAGTATTTTATTTCTTCATATTTTTTCAACCAGATTCAAAATAAGCTTGATATTTATACTCAATTTAGGTGATTCCTATTTTTCTCTCGCCCTTCAATTTTTGGACTCAACCACCCCACTGTCTTTGCTGGTTTGCCAATAAATCATCATTACGATTTGCTGACCAAGTTGTACTCTCGAATGAGAGAACTATGAGCAACAACTGTCTTGTAGTGAGGACGTTATGGCCATCGGAATGAAGTAACTAATTCTTAGGCAGCTGAATCAGCTACACCCTTTCTCACTATTTTCGGCTTTTTTTTTTTCCAAAGTGACATTCACGATAGTGTTTTTTTAGAGAGGAGGGGTAGAATAGCCCCATTCTAAATTACTGTAATACTCTTGAATTTTTTACAATGTTTTAATTGCCGTAAAGCTTAAAATGTATTACGGTAAAAAAACTACCGTGAAGGTCAATTTGGTTAAAAAAAAAAGCTGAAATTTTGACAAAAAGTATAACCATGGTTTTGAAAAATTAGGGGTCTTTTTTTTTCCGATTTTACTAAAATAAAGGTATATTAGCTATAGTTTGCCTTTTATTAATCTAGTTTGATCATTGTATGTCCATTGCAAATTATAACCATATTTTATATTTTCCGGCTGTTAAATTATTTCAGTATTTTATTTCTTCAATTTTTTCAACCAGATTCAAAATAAGCATGATATTTATACTCAATTTAGGTGATTCCTATTTTTCTCTCGCCCTTAAATTTTTGGACTGAACCACCCCACTGTCTTTGCTGGTTTGTTAATAAATCATCATTACGTTTTGCTGATCAAGTTGTACTCTCGAATGAGAGAACTATGAGCAACAACTGTCTTGTAGTGAGGACGTTATGGCCATCGGAATCAAGTAACTAATTCTTAGACAGCTGAATCAGCTACACCCTTTCTCACTATTTTCGGCTTTTATTTTTATCAAAATGACATTCACGATAGTCTTTTTTTGAAAAAGAGGGGTAAAATAGCCCCATTCTAAATTACTGTAATACTCTTTGAATTTTTTACAGTGTTTTAATTACCGTAAAGCTTAAAATGTATTACGGTAAAAAGACTACCGTGAAGGTCAATTTGGTTAAAAAAAAAAACTGAAATTTATGAAAAAATGTATAAGCAAGGTTTTGAAAAATTTATGGTCTTTTTTTTTTCAGATTTTACTAAAATAAAAGTATATTAACGATAATTTCCCTTATATTAGTCTAGTTTGATCATTGTATGTCCATTGCAAATTATAACCATATTTTATATTTTCCAGGTGTAAATTATTTCAGTATTTTATTTTTTCAGTTTTTTTCAACCAGATTCAAATTAGCATGATATTTATACTCAATTTAACTGATTCCTAATTTTCTCTCGCCCCTAAATATTTGGACTAAACCACCCCACTGTCTTTGCTGGCTTGCCAATAAATCATCATTACGATTTGCTGATCAAATTGTACGCTCGAATGAGAGAACCATGAGCAACTGGCTTGTTGTGAAGACGTTATGGCCATCGGAATCAAGTAACTAATTCTTAAGCAGCTGGATCAGCTATAACCCTCTCCTACATAAGGAGAAGGTTGAATCAGGCCGGCTTTCGAGGAGCTTGATGCAAAGCTTTCCACTTCTTGAGGTGTGAGACGGGTGCCCGGTGTCGTAATTATGATTGCTAGAAATACTAAACCACTTTGATAGGGCCGTAATGCTTCATATCAACTTTTACTGAAAACTACAAATCTGGAATAAAGAAATCCTGAAAATTAATCATCTAGGCCTTCGACCATTATAATTATTGAAAAAAAAAAAAACTATAATTTCCTACCCTAATAACACACGTTGAAACACATTACCTAAACTGTCTATTTCACCTTGAAAATAACAAAAGTTCATAGGTCAAAACCTGTATCATTTTTTGAACTTCAAATTTCATAATCGATTTTAAAAATTGATTTTTGAACAATTATTAAAATTTCATGGCTAAATTACTTCCAAGGTGAAGCTTTATTTTGTTTTCATAAAAACTAAGCCTGATAGAAACTTCATCTACACTTCAAAAGATGCCCAAACACACATTCTCCCATCCCTCAACAAACTGCGTATTTGATAATGCAAAATTTGGCACTAAGTTCACCCAGTTGCCACCTAAAATGCCAATTCATCAATGATTACACCATTAAATACAAAGGGCGTGAAAAACATAAGGCGCACAATGAGATACCTAGAATGGATTTTCTTTTCTTCTGTAAAGACGGGACAGAAAAAACCTACTTTACAAACTCCGCAACAATCTACATAATATAAAGGGCCCCCATTTTCTGGATCCACCCAAACTGTGGTTCCTCCGCTCTATCAACAGAAACCATAACTCATAGACCTCTACCTCTCTCTCTCTCTCTCCTATATCTCAACAGAAACCATAATGCATTGAAACTCTCTGATGTGAGAGTATTATCTACAACAGGTACAATTTCAAGTGCTATCATCTATCGTAAGGGAACTCGGCATTGTTCTCCATCACTTTGAAGTGCTGAGGTTGGCTGCCTGAGCAATAGAGGTTCCACATCTTGAAATATGCTCTCTCCAGATTCGTCACCTGAGTTTACAAAATGTGAATTCCAATCTGGCAATATATACCACTTAACCTCATCCATCCTAAAATTTGGGGATTGAAGCTCAAGGGAAAAATTAGGAGCCTTGGTAGAAATCAAACTGGTATCATGGTGACTAACCTCGACCCGTTTCCTACGGGTTGGAAATTATTTGGTGGAATATTCAAATAATCAGAAATTACTATCGCATTCAAATAAGAAACATGAGACTCAAAAGGACAAAATCAAGCTATAAAAACAAAGGAACTTACCCAACGAGCCGTATCAAAAAGTGGGCAGGTCATCCGTGCTGCTTTCAGTTTGTTGGTAAGAGCTTGAAGCCTTGGTCTATTCTCCGCAAAGAATACAGCCTTCTCTTCATATTCCTTCAGGCTACATTTAAAAGAATAATCACCAAAGGATGACATAGAAAGGAAAACTTACCGGCTGAAGTAACATTTTCCATAAGCCCACACAACAAAAGAAAGAGCTATAATTTTACCTCCCCACGATCATCTCCTCTCCTACTCCAGTAGCCAGGCACAGTGACCCTGCAACTCTAGTGGCCATTTTCTCAAGAGGCCTTGTAATCATAGGCAGACCAGCCCATAGTACATCCGTGCCCGTCGTATGAGCATTGCACAAGGGCCTGTTTTGTACCAGAAAGACAATTAGAAGACGGATGAAAGAAGAAGCATGGTCCTAAATAGCAAAACCCAAACTCAACAAAGTGGTGTGAGTAGCTCGTGAGGGCCATTAAGCAGAACCCAAAATTGTAGGGTAGTAAGATCTCTCAGAGAGAGCAAAACCCAAAATGGTGATTAATTAAGTGATACTTGGTGAAAGAGAAACCTCAAAGTGTCTGAGTGTGTGTGTGTGTGTGTGAGAGAGAGAGAGAAACAAATGGTGATTAGTTAAGTGAAACTCAGTGAGAGAGGAGAGTGCAAAACCCAATATGGCACTAAGGGAAACTTGGTGAAAAGAATCATCAATGAAGTGAATGCATGCACGTATGCGCATGTGTATATGTGTGTGTGACGAGGGGGATGGGGGGGCGGCAGAGATTTAAGCATACGTGTCGAGGAATAAATCAGCTAGAGCACTGCGACGGATGTGCTCATTCTTCACAGCAACATCAGTAAAGATGATTTGGTCTGGATGTACACCCTTCGCAGCCGCATCTGAACAAATGCAAAAGCAAATAGCTTATGTAGCCAAATTACAATAATAAGGCCAATCGAACCATATAACTAATCAAAGCAAAAAAGAAAAGCATCACATAAGAGGTGTAATACTGAAAACAACAAACAATAAATGAAGTAAACCATGATAGTAAACAAATGGGCTCTCTCTTCCATAAGAACATCACCATACATGCTCGCAATCTGTTCTCTCCTGCAGCTGGAAATCTCAAAAGCCAAAGAGCGCTACTGGGTACACGCTTAAGAATGTTGCACCTGGTACAAAAGCATTAACAACTTAATTCTCTTTTTTCTTTCTAATAGATGAAAGCATTTACAATTCACCAGTAATTAGAGAGAAGAACTAAGGTGATAGTTTTCATGATCATACAGTACATGGACAAGCAGTTACCACGTATCGCAACTTATCCCCAAAGAAAAAACATACACCCACACCCACACACTTCTTACCATGTATTGAAGATGTCAGGGTCCATTTTGTACAGTTGATTAAAGCAAGCAAATAGGAATTTATCTTCTGGCAATCCATAGTCTGATCGTTTATGCCGGCAAACTGGTTCCAGAACATCCCGATTTTTCTGCAAAAGTCTATCGATATAAACAAATGCATATATAATGATGTATATATGGTCATCACAACCAACAGTAATGCAGACCTTTTGAACTAGCGAATAAAGGACTTTCATGCTACCTGTTTATAATCATTGACAAAGTAACAATGAGGGAGGTGGACAAGCTTCTCCGAGTAAATATGAGCGAAGCGTGTAGGGGAAACAAACTGCATACATTTTTTTTTTCAGCACAACAACCACGTCAAAAGAAAACTAAGGTATGAGCCACATCAAATTCAACTAGACCAATGCATTTCCCCCCACTGAAGTCCTACCTCATCTGTAACCAAGTAGTCGATGTAAGTTGCACCTGTAGTCCCGGGGAATCCCATGTATGAAACTTGAATGGGTGCTGGCTGCATCGCAAAAATTTCATTCCTTGCCCCCTACAGCATTAAAAGGCACAAGAAAAATAAAAACACGAAAGCAGAACGACAAACTCCAAATTAAAAAAAAAAGAATCAAAGGAAACGCATCAAAACAATGCAATAGAAAAAGAGATCAGCAGCTCTTGCAACAAATGAACAAAACATGAGTAGATGATGTTCTCTGGGGATTTTATCAAAAATTCAAACCCTGAATAGAAACCCCCTACAACTAACAGGATTTTCGAAAATATGTTCAATACATGAACCTTTCTTTTTCTTTTTCTTTAATTTTCCATTGGAAATATGGCAGACCATTTCATTCTAGTATCCACAATCGCACCATGTCAAGGAGTTAGAATTTAAAAAAGTACACGGTTCTTCAATGGCACCTGAAGGAATCTTCTTTGCTAGGGCTATATGATACGAAAACCTAAATTTTGAATAACTAGGTTATTGGTTTATTTAATTTTCATAAAGAGTTCACAAAAGGTTACGATATGTTTTTTCCATAAAATAATTAGGTTATTTCTGCTCATCACTGAACTGAGCCGAACTCTACAACTCAAGAATCTAACCACTGGGACTGCTAATTAAATAAATGAATTACCTTCGTGTATCCATTCAAATTGACAAGGATCTGTATCTTATCCTGATTGATCATATTAGCGATCAAATCAGATGACATGGACGAAACATCAACAAACTGCTCTGCTTCCGATTGGATACGTTGCCTCCATTCACTACCATCATTCGGGCTAAGAGCATAACAGAAGACCTGGATATTTTCATGATAACATATCGATAAAAGGAAATGTAAGTAAAAATCAGAAAACAAACTACAACAACCATACTGTTGCATTCTGGGAAGTAAGATAAAAACAAAACCTCAATATTTTCCCTGTTGTGCATGCCAAATACTGAGCCCATCAGATGCGATAGTGGGTGGTTACCAAAGTCGCTGCTCACGTAGCTGTTGATAGTCATCCAAATATTAGTAAGATAGAAACAAAGGTCTCTCTCTCCCACCCACACACATGCACACAGTGCACATGCGTCCCCACTCCTTTGCACTGGTCAAATATCTACAAATTCACTAGCATACAGAATTTTAATTTGAGTTACAACATACCCCACCCTGAGACGACCATTTCTACCCTCGCTCTTTACAGGAAGGGGAGGGGGGTGACTGAAGGATGCAAGGCCATAGCGGGTTGCAATCACAGAACAATGTGCTGCATACTTCTTACTGCAAAGGCACAGAATGAAAACTATAAATAAATGCACAACTAAGAAACTCAATCCTATCGCAGCATAATTCAGAGTAGAGAGCTTACCTAATTTCTAAAGCTAGAATTGGATCTATGGGATATGCTATTGCATGGAAAGGTTGCACACTAGGGAGCACTGACACCTGGATTAAAAAAAACAAGGGCGTCCATAAAACTGGATATTTTTTTCTTAATAAGGAAAATAGACTTGTGCAAGTAAAAGAATGTCCCAACAAGCCAACAACAAAACCTGTATCTGCCTCCTTATGATTGCTTCAACTTCTTTGAACTGGTTCTCACGATCTTCCCAATTACAGACACACTGGAAATTCAAATAATTGTTACTATCAACATATGGCACCTTCTACAAACCTAATTTTATGCTAGAATGGATCGCTATATTCACCTCCCTCCCTATGTCCCTCTCTCACTCACATAGCAGTTCTGAAGCAGCTAGAGCAGCTTCTAAATGCCCAATCATAGCTTTATAAGAGAAGCTAGCATTCTTAATACCACAATAGACAATGCATGAGACACACTGGAAATTCAAATAATTGTTACCATCAACATATCGCACCTTTTACAAACCTAATTCAATGCTGCTAGAATGATCGCTATATTCACCTCCCTCCCTATTTCCCTCTCACTCACATAGCAGTTCTCAAGCAGCTAAAGCAGCTTCTAAATGCCCAATCATAGCTTTATAAGAGAAGCTAACACTCTTAACAGCACAATAGACAATGCATTATGGCCTCTTAGGCAAACAGCCAGACCACTGTGGCTAGCCATGCCAACCCATCAGCAAAAACTCTAAAAGGACAATTTTAATGTCATACCTGTAGAGTGTGTAGAAGATTACAAGTGGCCTCTGGAAAATCAGGACGCAGGAGCAATGCCTGCTGGTAACTTTTAATAGCAGCTTCCACATGACCACTGAAAAGATCCAAGAGCAAAAAAAACCGTCAAGCAACAGCAAAAATAACATAAAAAGATCTTGCAAGGAAACAATTATTATCCAACAGACATTTTAGAGAGCTGAAAAATTATATGCTCCCACGGGAGCAAAATATACATTTGCTCCCTTGGAAAAGAACCCTATCCAGGTGAACTTTTAGGGCCCCAAAAATTATGGGGATGCGACCTACTCAACCTTGCAACCTACATAAGAACGACTTGAACATGCTCCCTGGATCTGCTTGAAAATAGACCACACCCTCAAATTGCACAAACCATCCAGCTTTTGGACATTCAGATCTAAGTGACCAGGTACTCAAATTTTTTTATTTATTTTTATTTTTCGTAAAATACTCATCTGGTGATTCCAAAATGGAACACAATTTTAGATCAAGAAAATCCTCCTAAGTAGGCCATTCATGACAACTTCCATCAGAGCATAGTGAACATACTCTTCAGAGATAATCTCTGAAGCAAAAGAGAAGAAAGGAAGTACACACAAAAATAAACAATACAGTACTCAGTACTGCAAAACGGTACAGCAAATTAATAATGTGAATCATTTTTTGCTTTGTATTCTGAGAAGAAATTTGTAATCGGGAATCTAGATTCGAAAATTAACAGGTTTTCCCATTCTTTGAATTTATACCTGTCTTTATAAGCTGAAGCGAGATTCGCATGGCCCTCAGCCATGGTCGGTCGAATTGTAACAGCCCGTATGTAATCTTGAATTGCTTCACTAACTCGACCAATCTCCTTCAGCGTGTTTCCCCTATTGACAAGCCCATCAGCTGCCAAAGGATCAATACGAAGAACCTCATTATAGCAAGATATTGCATCTGCATAATTTCCCTGTCAATAGAGAGCCGTTATCAGCTTGCATTACTCTCCTAGTAAATGCTTAATTAATGCTCCATGATAGACACCAGAAAGCACCTTGACAGGGAAAAAGAGGCCTAGCCATTACCTGTTGTTTATATATTATTGCCAAGTTACTATAAGGAGCTGATAATCCAGTGGTCACTGCCAAAGTTGCTTTGTAGAATGTAGCAGCAGTGCTCATCATATTCCTGAGTAAACAAAGTTTACCATCAGATCTTACAAACACGACCCGAAAGGTATATATTGTCCAAGATAAAATATAAAATAGGGCTCACCACTCCATATATATGTTGCCTAGATTTGTAAGAGCTTGTGGATGGCTAGGCTGGAAGGCAAGGCAAGACTTGAAACAGAAAAAGGAAGGATTAGAATAATTTGAGCATAAGAAAAGAAAGTAAGCTACAGCAAGCCAGAAATTTACTAAATAATTAGCCAACCAACCTGATAACAACTGATTGCTTCTTCCACTCTACCGGCATCTTTGAGAGCATTGCCCTACATTTGTATAACAGTTGCACACCAAAAACCAAATCATGATATGACATTTGGTTTACATGGCAAAACAGTTCCATTTCAAGAATGTGAAGCAAAGCCTTAGGGAGAAACTTACAAGATTATTATATGCCTCCAAAAATCCTGAATCACAAGCAATGGCTTGCCTGTAATGGATGATAGCTAACTCCAATCGGCCTTGTTCATAGTAAATACTCGCAAGATTGCCTGCACAAAATAATTTGGTATCCACCAATTCCCCGTCACTAAAGACTGACCTAACCCCAGACACATTTCCCATGCCAATACTTGCACCTTCTGAAGTGTAAAATTCATACAATCATACACATATGACTTAAAATCCTGAAAGGTCATAAGTTACAATTGCATCTCAAGGGGATAAGAACAGTCCTAAAAAGTTGTCATGGTTAACACAATTTTTCACTTTCAGGCTGCCGCTATATGGAACCAAGCCATGCATTCCATAGATTAAAGAAGACATTGTCTTCGAACTGCATGCACCATCACGACCCCATCAAACGAAACAAGCAAACAAGGATATCTTGTTAGAAACTACAAGACCACCAAGGGCTAACAGGATCTTACTAACGATCCAATGACACATGATAGGAGACTAATGTTATTAAAACAATGGACAGGCCTGGTCGAACCCACACAGTTAAGGACAGCACAGAAACCGGACCGGATGTCAAACAGAAAATAGATTGGCTTGGTCCCATACAATTCAATCCCCTGTCCAACACGTTGGTGACCAATTCAAATAAATAATTCTTTTTGACAGTTGATTTGAAGAAAATAATTAGATTTTTTTTGAGAAAAACTGCATTAATTAGCCTTCAATTGATATCCTCGACCCAGGTATTTTGAATCACTGCATTTTGTATTGAACCAGACCAGGTTTGGAGTGGGACCGGACAACCAATTGGACCAGGCCGTCTTGCCTGCTATTTAGAAGTTGCTTTTTGTTGCTTTCCAAATAGAAAGCATATAAAACTCTGCCAAAGCAACCTAAGCCACCCAAAAAATTTATTATTTCTATTTGTATTTTTTTCCCTCTTTCCCATACTGACTAGAACGGCCAATCCAGTTTTAATAACATTGAGTCCCAAAACTACCATCATATTAAGACATACTTCATCCAAAAATACAACGTAGAAGTAGGATTAGATTCCCAGACTTACCAAAAGCCATTGCGTAATCTGGCTTGGCCTGAATAGCTCGCTGATAGCACATAATAGCCTCTTGAGGCATTCCCATGCCCTGGAGATGGCAAAACAAGAATTTGTTTCTCTCCAGAAACCAGCCCTGGAATCTGCAGCAACCTCACCAATGTTTCACAATAAAAGATGGCTTACCTTGTAAACATTCCCAAGGTTGAGATAGGCATCAGAAAATGTTGGTTTCAGCTTAACTGCCTCCTGCAAATATCACACGGTAGTGTCCAGACAAATAATTTTAACATCACCATCAAAGTGAATTTGAATGATGTTCAATAGTACCTTCATGATCAATAATACTTCTAACAAATAGCTGAGCATACTTAGAATATTCCAAGTATGCTAACAATAAAAGGACTTATAATTCTAACAAAATAATTATTATTTAAGATAACTACCTATCAAAGGGTGTGGTTTCTATAAGGTTGCAACCTTAAACAATCCAATTAAGGTACACCTCTAAATTTTATCATAATATGTAATTTTGACGTAAAAAACTCTTAGGATTATCTCAAAATCTAGTTTTATTTTTAATTATAAAATTTTAAACTTCAAAAATAGTTAAAATCAAGTAGATCTATAAACATATGAAAATTTTGAAAATCGACAGCTTAGATAATGTGTTGCAAAATTCACTATTTCTTGCACTCAAAAAATTACTTTTTTTCATATTTTCATATCCCGATATCGAGATGATCAATTAGAACGTTTTTCAACATTAAAACAACCTTTTCCAATGGATTTTTGAGGTGCATTTGTAATTCTATATTTTAAGGTTACAACCTTATATAAACTTTTTCCCATATCAAAATAGTTCTTATTATTGATAAATATTGTTATAATCATGAAGATGAGTTCAACTTAGTTTTCCAACAGGAGCAGATTAAATGGCGAATGACAATTTGGGGTTATGCATGTTGTGACGTGTGAGTAGCATAAATTGTTCTCCAATGCCGCTCTAAACCACCACTGGCGGGAAAACAATCCAAGGTCTATGCCACGCCAAAAATCTTTGCAGTAGTTATAATACCAAAAGGTGTACATCAGGGGGAAAAAAATATTCTCAATCCTCGTAAACTAAACCATGCCATTAATCACCTTGTAGTACGCAAGAGCTCTGGTGAAATCTCCTGCCTCCATGAATAAACCAGCAAGATTTGACCAAGCAATGGCAAAAGTTGGTTGTATCCTCAGAGCCTCCAAGTAACAGTTGTATGCCTGGATAAGCATCAATATTCCGCCCATTACTTTTAATCCATATTGCGCAAGTTGCATTAACCAGAGACTAGAGACTCTATAAACAAATAAAAATCAAATTAAACAAAAATACAACTAGCATTATGATTCAAATCATTCTTGTCAAAGTCAGACAAGTAAAATGAGAAGCTCTGCCATTTCAGTATGATCACAACTTAAGACAGATAATTTTGAAAAGCTCATTTGCAGATACTTACTTCTTGAATTAAACCTTGCGCCTTCATTAGGTTCCCTAGATTGCTGTGAGCATCAACCTAAACAAGAAAAAAAACATCAAACTGTGAAAATACAAAGAGAACAGAAGTTGACATTAAGCAAGATCATTAGATGAATAAAAAATACTACCAGGCGGGGATTCAGGGTAAGGGCCTGACGACAGCACTGTGCTGCTTCATTCAATCTTCCTTTTCGCATGTAGGCACTGGCTAAATTTGACCAGGCATCGCAAAAATTAGGGCGCAACTGCAAAAAGCAAAACAGTGAGGGCAACAGATGGCGTAAAAGCCTCAATATGTCACAAAAAAATCCACTATTAAACGCCAACTTTTCAAAAATAGAAGGCCATCTTTTCAGAAGAAGAGAAAAGGACAAGCAAAAAAGTAGCATTATTTTTTTGAGTCATGATGAATCTCAAGTTCATAAAAATGACAAGGTTAAAAAGCTCAAAAGAGTTGGACTGAATTTATATAAATTATAATTGGAAGAGAACATTAACGATACAATTGAGTCATTTGCCCCAAAAAAAAACGAAATTGGATGCCCTTTCTGACCCTTGCAGTGACTTGGAAAACCTCCTTTCATTGCCCAAGCTTCTGAAAGTCCTGTCCTTATTTATAGTTTATGATGGGTTTTACTGTGGCCTCTGCCTCCAAAAATTGTTTTATCCTTTTTCTCAGTGAACTAATACATGTCTTAGTTCAATTTATATTAATGCTAAAATATACACTTGTATTTATATTTGATAAAACGAAAGTTCAACAATAGGTTAGAACTGTCTAAAACATGTAATATCATATAACGATTGTTTCAGTTATATTACAAGATTTTGGTGTCACTGTCCAATTACTAAAACAACAACTCGCAGCTGTCCTAGAGCTGATTTTGTTGTAGCAGTTCAGCAATTAATTATCACTTAAATTTCTTTCTGAGCCTAAAAGTCAGTAACCTTCGAGGAGGGCCTGAGCCTCGCTTATTATGATAAATCCTGGGATCAGTAATACAAGCCCATCATATAACGGGCCAAGCAAGGATCAGCAAATGTAAAGCGAATCTAAGCCCCAAACAGCAAAGTTCAAGATGAAGATAAATAACAAGGCAAACCACTCTTCATCTTATGTAATCATGTATGTATGGATCCAACTTCTATCATCCATTAAATATGTTCTCTTCTGTACACGCAGATTTCGAAGAAAGAACCACAAAATCATCTTTTATTTTTGCTGTTTGTTTCACAAGTACAATAAATAACATAAAAACCATAGCCACTTGCATATTCAATCAGCATGAAAAACTTAAACTGCATGACAAGCTACAGTGTACATGTTTCATACCAGGAAGCAGGGGCAAGTAAATGAAATCAAAGAATTTCAACAAACCTCAATAGCAATCAAATAATAGCGAATGGCGAGATCAATGTTTCCTTTTTCCTACAATAGATAAAAATAAATGGAAAGTATCAATAATCGTAATGAGACCACAACCAATTGAAAAATCCAAGTGTAGGTGTGAACTGCGAAATATTGCACCGATGACTACGTATGTTACCTTCCAAGCATTTGCCATATTTCCAAAACACTCAGCAAAATGTGGGTCGATGCGCAATGCTTCTTCATTCTTTGCAATGCACATATCAAAATCATGCAACTAGACAAAAAGTCCAAGAAGGCAATGTAAGCCACAAAAATTAGGTCAATAGTAACAGCAATGCAAAAGAAATCAAGAAACAAGTACTGCACAGATTGAACAAAAGAGAACAGTCACATGCCAAAAGAGATGCATGTCAATGAAACCGGAGTTACAGGACATTACCAACCTTCACCAAAACTTTGTATAAATTTGGTTATCTTTTGGTTACTTATAAATTTGGTATCCAAGGCATGTAAAACTCAGCCTAGGGTTCAGCATGATCCATGCCATATCACCGAGTGCAGAGTCTACTCAGAAAAATAGCCGCTCTCTGGAATGGGAAAGCGGCTTCTGGGAACCTGTCCCTCAAAGCGTCGCCATAATTTGTCACGGAGTTTTGTGGAGAAAGTTTTCCCATGCCTATAAAGGTATGAAAAAGACTTCCTATTTGCTTAAAACCTCTCTCTATCAATTAGCTTTTCGGAAATAGATCTCATGATCAACACATTTGCCATGATTGTTTAAAGAATATATTTAGGGACACAAGAGTCTTATAGTGACTCACGAATAGCTCGAGACCACCCAAGTTCAAACAACTTAAGGAGTCAAAAGGACAGTCTTTCCCGCACCATGTTCTTTTCATCTCAAAAGTTAATTTGAAAAAAAAAAAGAAAGGAAAAAAAAATCAGTGGGCATGCCTTGACAAGCCAAACACAGCGGAAGAAACAACCTGATAATGAATAGCCCCAAGGAGAAGAAGATTATCGGTGCGCTGTGGATTTTTCTCGTAAACAGCATTGCTATGCTCAAGAGCCTGCTTATAGTTCAAAGCTTTGTACTTTTGGTGAGCAAGGGCCAGGAGATTCTCTTCGTTAGCTGCACAACATAGAGAGAAAAAAAATGCCAGTCAATTATCACAAAAGGATGATCTAAGTAGGCCACAAGCAATTTATTCACACTAAATCAACGGATGACGTAAAAATAATGCCTTGAAGAAATTGACCTTAGAAAACAGATGAAGAAAGAAACATAGTGGCAGCTGTTTCAACAGATATATTATCTAATAGTACCAAACCGAGTTAATCAACGGATGACGTAAAAAGAATGCCTTCAAGAAATTGACCTTAGAAAACAGATGAAGAAAGAAACATAGTGGCAGCTGTTTCAACAAATAAATTATCTAATAGTACCAAACCGAGGTAAACAACGGATGACGTAAAAAGAATACCTTGAAGAAATTGACCTTAGAAAACAGATGAAGAGAGAAACATAGTGGCAGCTGTTTCAACAGATAAATTATCTAATCGTACCAAAGCGAGTTAGTAACGACTCACATTAGGAAAGCTTCCCCTGAATCTAAGCACATAGCTAAATGAACACTATATTTCTCTTGTTGGACTTCTTACTTCACCAGACATTCCTTTAATTCAGAAGCTCAATTTTCGAATTTAATATCATCATTATCTTTTTTTTCCTTTTTTTTTGGGCGGGGGGGGGGGGGGAGGCTTCAGAGTTTTGAAGGGACCCGGTGCATTAGTGCTGGTACAACTGTTGTGTCATTCACAGTTTAACATGATTGCTATCCAATCTGCAGTAGTAAAAAAAATTTAAAAAGAAAAGGAAAGGAATTGTTGCCCCATATACCTAATTACCTATGATAAAAAATATCCTTTCTAACAAGATTTTGTTGGAAGAAACACACATGAGAAACCAGGCGGAAATATATTATGACCCCATGCTTCTCAAAGACAACCCAGATGACGTCCCATGACCACATTAGTTTTTCCAAGGAATATTTTGCCACAACACATATGGCAGCACAGAAAACATAGCAGAGACAATCTCCACCAAACAGCATCATATTTGGGTATTTTTTTCAACAAAATTAACAGAAAACCGCAAGAAAAGAGAGTAAATTTTCACAGTGAAGGAGATGCAAGGACATACAAAATAACCAACGACTGAACTGACAGACATAAGAAAAGAATACAGTTTCTATAAGGCCTAGGCTTTTTGAAAACAAAGCGAACCCTCAACTCCAATCCTTGTCCAAAAAGCACTTTGGGCATCGGAAATCCCCGTGATGACTCAAATGATTTCCGATACCGAATATGAAATTTGAAGATAAAAAAACAGTACAGATCATGTGGATCGGTAAAAACTTATTTTTAGAGCAAAATGGATTGTCTAGAAAATGTGTTACAACACACCATTTTTAGATCTTGAAATCCTATATTTTTTGTACAACCACAGTGGTCCAGGCCGAGATGATTGATTTGAAGGTTTTCCTATGCCAAAACTACAATTTTTGGGGATTTCTGGGGTGATGCTTTACTTATTTTGATAGGCTGCAGCCTTATCAAAACATTTTCTATAAGAAAATTGCAAGATTTTTGCCCAGTTAAGTATTACAACAGGAAAACAGAAGAACCTTTCAGAGTGGACGATCAAAAAATTGAAATCTCCAAAGTGAAATGAGGGAGAGAGAGAAATAAACTCAATAATCAACTACTGAAGTAGATAGCAGAGGATAAGAAAACAGCAAGATTCTATCTAATTAAGCACCATAACAACACACACAAAAAATAAAAATTAATCTTTGCACAAACTTAGATAGAGAGAGAAAGAGAGAAATTCCATCAATATTTAAGATACCATCTCGTAAATCACTGGTATGCAAAGATTGCTGAGTCAAGCAAGATTCTTGCTGACAAAGAAAGGATTCTTCAAGATCAGAACTGAATGGAACCAGCCTGCTGCTGCCAACGCCATCGCACCCCAGCAATTGTTGTTGCTGCTGCCTAGCGTCGCTCTGTATAGAGAGTAACATCCTCGAATCACGGAGGGAAAACAAATACCCTAACCCTAATTTCCAGTCCAACAACAACAGGAGCTGCTGTAACTCCTCGAAAACCCTAGCCTTTAAGAAGAAGAAAACGATCCCTCTCTCTCTCTAAAAAGTGTTCATTTCTCTCTCTTACTTTTTCTGGAGACCAATAAATTTCACGCAGTTTAACTGCTTTTGGTAAAGACGATTCACACGCTTTAAAGCTCGCGCACCTTCCGTATCCTTTGGAGCATCTTGGCCGTCCATTTGCTTATGAGGTGGAGAATGCTAGCCGTCCGATTTTATACGTGCCTCTTAGGAGAGATCTTGGCCGTCCGATCTTCTAGAAGGTACTGGTTAGATTTGGAAACTGCGCACCGCACCAACGATATGTGTCCGTTGGATTAACAGAGAATACAGATCTCGGCCGCAGAAGTCGCTTTCGATACATCTAGTTTGTCGTTTTAATGTTATCACTTTTTTTTATATGAAATCGGAATTCGCCAAAAATATAAGGCATCGATTTAACGGTGAATTGGTGAGATAATACAGCATATTTAGCAATTGGCTCAAAGCAAAAAAACAAAAAAAAATGAGGGGGGAATTAACGATAAAGAAAAAGTTTATATAAGTGTAGGGTTCGCAATGGTCGCGGATCAAAGGAGTAGACCCGATCCGGGTCCGGGTATTGGTCCAAAAATTAGACTCGACAAGCTGGGTTCAGATCTAAATATTGGATCTGAATGCTATTGGGGTCCAGTCCGATCAGATGCGGATCTGGTAATATTTTTTAGGTCCCAATATATGAAATATAGTTAAATACATAGAAATTTTAATTTTTGGGTTGGTTTAGATCGGGTTTGTGTTCCACACTATATTTTCGGGTTCGGGTCGAGATCTGATTAATTCGCGTCCGGTCCAAGAGCTGGACATGGACCCGACTCGACTCGTTGCCACCCTTATATAAGAGTGACGCTGTAATCAATCAAAATGGGGATTGTATGCTATGAGATTATTAGATGTCGTAATTTTTTTATAATCATTGGATGTGAAATTTAATAGGTTGAAATATGTCACAACATTTGAGATATTTTATTTTGGACTTTATATCCAATCAATAAAACATCATCAATCACCAAATTTCACATCCAATAGTCAATAATGATTTATGACGTCCTTGTTTGAAAAGTAAATGGTTCATTGAATACATTTCGAAGCTATTTTGTCGAAAAACCCCTAGTTCAATTATCTCAACCTCAAGATATGTGGACATGAGAAAAAAAAAATTAAAATCTTGGAAATAGTTCATCTTGTAATGTATTATATAAACTATTAGTTTTCTAGTGTTCATATATTTGCTTGATTTACACTATGTATAAATATTTAAATTTTATAATTAGAGACGAAAATAAATTTTCATGCCATCACGAAGATTTATGATATTGAAACAATAAGTTCTAGCACTATTTGAAGGTGCACCTTACTTTGATTGATTAAGGCCTCAGGTTTATACAAACCACGCCCTTATTTTGATTGGTTAAGGCCTCAGGTTTATACAAACCACACCCTTACGATAATATCTCTTAGGGGTATTTAGCAAAAGGAAATGTATAGAGCAAGATTATTTGTTTTGGATTAGTCTACCATGAGACTATTTATCTTGTTGCAACGAGGTCACCATTTACCGCTAGCCATTTGAGGTCAAATTGGATGGCTTTGAATGTAATACAAAGATCAAGATTTTTTATTTTTTTTAATTTTTAGTCTAGCCAATGACACATTCACAACTACCCGAGCAGAGAAGAATGATGGTGACCTCCTTATATCAAAAAGTGAATAGTCCCTTTATATACATTTTTATTTATTTTTAGTACACGTTAGATGTGAAAATTGGTGGTTAGAGATTTGTCAATGACTATAAATGAAGTCCAAAATAAAATTTCTCAAATGTTGTGATACAATTCAATCTGTTTGTTTTATATCCAATGGCTAAAAGTAACTGTGACATCTATGTACCTAAAGTGAATTGTAATATATAGTACATAATCCCTTTTGAAAATGTGCTATCATCATCATCAAAGCATTTTCCCTATATGTTTTACATTTTTTGTCCATCTTTTTTTTTTCAACTTTCAAAATGGTTTTAATTCAAAACAGTATGGATTTAAATTAGAACAAACAAATCTAGGTCGAAGTAAAAAAAGGAGAAATTTACATACAAAACATGAAAAAATATATATGCAGTGTTACTACATGGTACAAATTTTGAGGCATATTATATAGAGGTCCTTGAGTTTTTAATTTTTTGTTCCTATTTACCCCCAGTTTGAAAATGTTACTTTTGAACTACCCAAAGTAGGAAAAGAATTGACATATTTTGGGCCGTTTGAAAATTTAACTTTCAAACCACACAAAAAAAAATATTGAGGTCTTTGAGTTTTTAATTTTTTGCTCCTATTTACCCCCCGTTTGAAAATATCACTTTTGAACCACCAGAAGTAAGAAAATAATTGACATATTTTGGACGGTTTGAAAATTTAACTTTCAAACCACACAAAACAAAAGTGTTTGGGCGATTCGAACGTCCATCTTTCAAACCATCTAAAGCATTAAAAAAAAAAAAAGTATTGTTAAACTCTAACACTTAGTTTTTTTCTTTTGCATTTTAGGCAATTTGAAAGTTCGACTTTCGAACCAGCCAAACACTTCAAATTTTTTTGTACTTTGAATGGTTTGTGTTAGAAATTGTATTTCGAAGTAACGGAAAATTCAATCATTAAATATAGGCATCCGAAATAGACAAGATCGAGTAAACTCGATCATCACACAGAATGGAGTAATGAAAAACTCCATCATCCAATAGGATTGAGTAACGGAAAACTCAACCATCAAGCATGATCAAGTAACGAAAACTTGATCATCAACCCGGATCGAAAACTTGATCATCAACCAAGATCGAAAAATCCGATCATTAAACATGATGCACTTGGAAAAGCCAACAGAAATCAGTGACAGATCAACATGCACAGTTGGACCTTAAATTCAGAGTTGAGAACAGTAAGATCCAAAATATATTATAGAGTCGAAACATGAATCGATAGAGAGACAAATCAGATAGTCGAAACATGACACATTAGCTGGTTTGTAGATAGTGCAAATCGATCATTTTCAGAGGTGGATTTAGAGGCAAATTTAGAGGTGGATTAAGAGGCGCGTTTTAAATCCAGCTCACCAAGGGTCTGGTATCAGAGTAGAGCACGACAGAAATCGATGCCAGATAAAGAAAAAGGCTTCATCGATTAGAAAAATTGGAAATAGAGGTCCGTCACATGTGCAAAGAGGTGCACCATCACTTTTACAAAAGAGGGTAATGAAAAATGCTTCCAACAAAATCACTCCAAAATGCCGTTGTGACTTTTGCCAGTAGTATTCAACCATTAAGAAAAAGCAAAGGAACTTATTGACTATTCAAGAGATATTGAAACGATTTAGAAAAATAAGCAAGGGAATGAGTAAATAATAATTTTGATAGAGAGAGAAACAGATAAAGAAAGAGCAAGAACGGGATGAGGCCTTATGTTCTAACTAGAATATCCCCACTCCAAAATATTTGCCTTCAATGCCGTCTTGTGTTCCACGCTCATCGCACCAAAATATTTGTCTTTCGGCGTAGATGTAGGCAAGGGTAGCCCCCCATCCGCCATTAGAGAGGCTGAACTGCACTGTCGACGACGACCCAAACAACATGTTCGGTGGACAACGAGACCCCATCCTCCCTCCCTATCTCTCTCTCTCTGTCTCTCTCTTACTCACTAAGAGAGCATTCCCCTCTTCGCATATATCAAGACCGCCAGATAAGAACTTCAATGGCTCAGATCCTATCGATCCACTGGTTTTGTTCTCCTTGGACAGAAGGGACTTGTGAAGAACTGGTTTGCAAGCTTGTAATGGCCGCTAGAGCTAGGGTTCAGGTTTTGAGAGAGGAGATTTTGAGCTCGAGCAAGGAAGGTTAGGGCTAAAGGCTTATGTGATGAGTCCATACAATTGGAGAGCGCGCAATCTGGAGATCGAAGAGAAGCTCCTGCTCTTCATCTTCGGAAAACTCTCCGGATACCACCCTTTCAAAGCACGAAGCAGCTAGGCCGTACCGTTTCAGGTCCTGCCATATAAGGCATGTTTTATAACAGAAGGATGCAACTTTAATAATTGGAGATGGAATTCCAGTTGGATTTCCGGCCAAAACCAGGAGATCTGTGGCTATCTGGCGAAGCTTTTCTTATTCCTCATCAAATTTTGGCCGTAAATCTTAGCCTAAAATTTTTTCGGCAACAACTGGTCGAGAGTTTGTAAGGTCGACACAGGTGTTCTCAAAACTCAACTGTGCTATGCAAATTTGCAAAGCAAATCCAAAACAAATTTGCAAAAGAATCTTTTCTATTTGCAAATTAACCTTTGATGAGATTTGCAAGCAAATCCAAATCAAATTTTCAAAGAAAATTTTTCAAAACGAAACTTATGTGGTTGCAAACGCAACTTTTGACGAGACTGTGGTTGCAAATGTTGGGGAAAAACTTAAGTGGTTGCAAACGAAATTGGGGAATTATTGGTAAGGAACTGATGGATTGGAATTTTGGGAAATTTTGGGAACAAATCTTATCCAGAGCTCTGATACCATATTAGAAACCGTATTTTGGTATAATTGGACCTATCCTTATGGCTTCATGGAATATTATTTGTGAATATTGTAGATAACTCTGTATAAATATACGGCCAATAGCTGTTAAAAGATAAATAACAATGATTAAGACACTACCTAGTGTTATCAAGAGATATGTATCTATACTATACTGATATATCTTAATCTTGTCAAGAGATATGTATCTATACTATACTGATATATCTTAATCTTGTCAAGAGATATGTATCTATACTATACTGATATGTATCCATAAATATGTGTATCTATACTATACTGATATGTATCCATAAATATATATATGTATCTTAATCTTGTCAAGAGATATGTACCTATATAGGTACATAAAAATGATGTATATCATCCATAACATATCCTAACCGTTTGAAAGTTGGACTTTTGAAGTTTTTGAACACATGTTCCACGCAACTTGAATGTCGGA